ATTTAGTAAAATTCAAGTTAAAATAATGCAGTGAAAAAATATATTATAGCCGTGTACATCCAAACCCAGATAACTAGCATAGGCCTAATTATGCTACTTGCATTAAATACACTATAAATGACTACAAGTCTTTTACTACTTTCCTCTTCTTGGCTCATTTATTTCTAATCTTTCCTACCAACAACCACATTGAAGTTGAGCTTGAGCAATTTATCTACCTTTCATATTTCCATTTCTAAGGTTAGTAATCCATTCCCCTCTTTGTGTTCCTTATTAAATATAATATTAAATGTTTCCCAAAAAAATTTATTTTCCAATTATGATAAAATTTCTTTTGAATTTAAGCCCCCCTGAATGTTAGATTTCTGCCCACCTTGGAATAACGGAATTATACAATTCTCTAAAATTCTACTAATACATGAGATGACTAAGAAAATAGTTCTAATTCCAGATTATTATGAAATTTAATGTTCCTAAATTACGAAATTTAATGTTCCTAAATTAAATCCTAATTATATTCGTATCAGGTTACCTGTGACTGCTAAGCCATTTGGGATTAGAAAGCTTACCAAAAACCAGAGGATCAATCCATTTCTTCATTTCGAAGATGAACCAGACAAAGGTGACTTTAACACCTACAATAATTTGTATATATCGATCAACATTGATAATCTGCAATCAATAATGTGTCTGTATGATAGGAAATAGAAAATATAGAGTAAAAATACAATAATCATTAGCGATACAATCAGGAATGACTATTTGAATACTTAGGTAATTATAGTTTGGAATTATCTTTCTTAGTATTAGACCCTCAGTGAATCATGTCTTTAGAACTCATTTCGTGCCGTAAGAAACTGGAAATGTGCCATATAGCCTTCATCATGCTCAAACCGTAAGCTGAACATGAATATTGAGGTCTAATGACTATATAAAACAATTATATATACCGCCTATAAGAGAATATGAATACTGTTTTAATTAAAAAAATCATGGGTTTTTTTTCTCAGATTCGATACAGATATATAAACATATATATACCTATATACCATATACAAAAATATATATATATATATTCTCGGTTCATATATGAAATATTAATGAGTAATATGTAAAATTTAAATTATAATTTTTTTTTAGCATAAAGGATATGTTAATGTGCAATTGAACCTTAAACATGTTCATAGATTATTGAACATGATTAATAAGGTACAATAGCTTTAAAAAACATGATGTTAACATTCCAGATTTTAAAAGCACCGAAAAGTAAAATCTCCGGACTAACGTGTAATTTAGTTTAAGAAATATGGATTTTTAACACAGATCGTTGTTTTTCTCAAATAAAGATCAAATATTGGATGTGAGAAGAAGAAAAAATTCAGATCTGATATTGCATGAACAAAAATAAGTTAAATCTACTTATGTAACGAGTATTTCAGTTTAAGAAATATGGATTTTTAGCAGAAATCGTTGTTCTTCTCAAATGCAGATATGGAGCTTAAAAAAAAAATTGAACGAAACATAAAAAATTCTCATCTTTGAAATCAAAGGCTGTAGATATAAATCCCCAATTTCAAGATCTATAAATATTAGATGTGAGAAGGAAAAAATTCAGATCTGAGATTGTATGAAATTGAATAAAATTACCCCTTGCTGGAAATAAATGGTCGGAGTACTTCAAAAACGAAGATAGATGCCGGCGTCAACATCGGTAGTAACCAGATAACCATAGTTGACGATTCGAGTAGGCGGTGATTGCCCATCGACTAAGGGACGAAGGTGGAGGTTTCTAGAGAGATGTAGAGAGTCGTAGGCAGCGGCGGATAGGGATAGGTTATAGGAACGAAAGCTTAAAAACGTAAGGTTATTGGGCCCAAATTATTTTTTTCTGATTTAACATTACAACTGGGCCAATTTAACACACTGGGCCATGATATGTATACTTAAAATATACTATTTCCATCCTAAAATTTTCTTCTCAGTTTGACTTTTCTCCATTTTTAATTTTTGGCTTTGACTTTATATTTTACCCTCCTTAAAAAATATTTTAAATTTTTTTCAATCATTCAAAATATAGAGTTAGAGTATAATTCGTGCAAATACATGATGGTATTAATGTCATTTGTTATCTTTTTTTTCTAATGGGAAGGTAGTTTTAGGACGGAGAAAATGTAAAGTGGGAAAAAAGTTTTAGAACAGAGAGAGTATTAAATTATTCTTTTGCATTCATTTCTTTTAAAAAATCATGATATACTTTTTTTTTTACAAATATAGGAGGAATTGGAAGTTTAATTGATCCATGTTACAAGTGCAACAGTAATGAAGATTCACTTGATATGGAAATGTGTTGGAAATGCTTTAGTGTCTCTGGTCATATGCGCTGCTTGCAAATTAGGTTTGATGATTTGGGTCCATATTTGAGGAATATAGACCAGTCGTCAGGTTTGTGCAATGGAACAAGGTTGATCGTTACACGACTTGGCAATCATCTAATTCAAGGTAAGGTCTTGACAGGGAAGAATATTGGTCAAGAAGTGGTTATCCCGCGATTGTTGCTTACACCATCGGATACCAGAATTCCTTTTAAATTTCAAAGGAAACAATTTCCGATTATGATATCTTACGCTATGACAATTAACAAAAGTCAGGGACAATCATTGACGCATGTTGGGCTATTACTAAAGAAACCTGTGTTCAGTCATGGACAACTTTACGTGGCATTATCACGAGTCACGAATCGCAGTGGATTAAAGATTTTGATTGATACTGAAGATCCTGCGACATCAAATAAAACAGCAAATGTAGTTTATAAGGAAGTTTTCCAAAACTTATAGTTGTATTCTTCCATTTACTGCATTAATTGTAAAATGCATCCTCTTAGATGTATACTACGTATCTTTGCTAAAACCAAAATGTTTCTCTTAATTATATCAATGTTTCCCCTAATTATATAATTAATACTAGCCCGTGCAACGCACGGGTTCGAGTCTAGTTAAGGACAAAATATACAACTCTTATTTTGGTAATTTTTCTTATTTTTACTTCTAGTTTAGTCAATTTTTTTCTATTCTAGAGTCACAAACAAAATGATCACAAAATTCACAAACATATCATGTATGAATTATATCCTAGAATAGAATAGTCTAAAATCTTTAAAAGTGAAAATTTAATTTACTAATGGTAGGTTTGTAATCACTTTGTTTGTGATTCAAGTATTACTCTTCAACTAATATAATAATACATTTGCAGTAATAGTTGTATATAAATACTTTTAATATATTCATTCAATTGCAATTTGTTACGGAGTAGTATTTTTCTAATTGTTTGTAATATATAATATTCTACGAAAATTTCATATGATAAAAAGTACTCTCCCCTTCCCGGAAAACATGGGAGTTTTGGTTTTGTAGAGAGATTTAAGGGGAATGTATTTTGGTATTGAATTTTCAAAAATGTCCTTTGATGTGATGAGTAAAAGTATGATTTGATGGATAGATTATTAGTAAAAAGGTATGATGTGATAGGTAGGGTATGAAAAAGTAAGGGGCAAAAGTGACTTTTTAATAGAAATGAGAAGTGTTTTTTGGGACGGATGAAAAAAGAAAGGAGAAATGTTTTTTGGGACGGAGGAAGTATTACATATTACATATTATTATTATTATTATTACATATCAAAAATTAAAATTATATTATATGAAAAAAAATTGTTTGAAAATACTGAGTAGAATTTTATCAAAATGTTTAAAATTTTAAAATGTTCCATACGAACTCAAGAATTGAAAATAATATAGAAATTAGTGGGGTAAATTTAGTCCCTATTGAAATATTTGCACTAAATAGTACTAAAACTTTAGTATTTAGACGGGGGATGTGACTATAACCTATACTTAAATTGTGTCTCCGAGGAACATAATATCAACAAGTTGGGGTTCCCCACCTCCCGTAGTTTTTTTGTTCATCACAAGTTGGGGTTCCCCACTTCCCCTAGTATCAACACTTACATCATACCGAGTGATTTTTATTTTTTTTCTTACAAACATATACTCATTTCGTTCCAAATTAAATTGCATGTTTACTATTTATATAATCAAACTTCATTCACTTTCTTTTGCTACTCTCTTTAGTTATTTGATAAAATAATATAGTCATGTCACCACTAGTTTTGTATATTTTTTATGCATGTAATCTTTAAATATAGAATTTTTTATTTTCAAATCTACGCCGTTTTTAGATAAAATAATTTAAAAATAATTTCAATCAAACATCGTAAACCGAAACAGACAATTTAAATTGGAACAAAGAGAGTATACCTTAAATTAATTTCTACCTTAACTTTCTTTCAATTAAACAAAAGAATTTAACTTCTTTTTAGTTCTCATCATTCCATTCCCCCCCTGAACAACCCAATTGAAATTGGATTTTCAAGCTATTTCTTTCCTCTAAAGCTCTTTTCTCTCAATTTCTATTCTCTCGCTTTCTTCCTTTGCCAAACGTATTCTTAAGCTCTCTAACTCTTTCCCAATTTTTTCTAACATTTTCGAGCTTCAATTCTCACATATCTTTTAGTTTTTTTTAATATCTAACTCTATTATTTTAATCCAAAACAACATTGTAGAAATTGATAAAAACTGATCTGATTTTATTGATCAAGAGACGTCATATACATACACGTTTACATTAGGGGCTAGGTTACACGTGGGCCCAATACAAACTAATTACAAATACCCGCTAACACCCCCCCTCAAGTTGGCGCATGAAGATCCCGAATGCCCAACTTGCACAATAAAAAATCAAAACTAGGTTTGCCCAACGGCTTAGTGAAAATATCGGCCAACTGGTATCGTGTCGGAACATAGCGTGTCGACACCTCACGTCGCTGAACACTCTCTCGAACTGTGTGACAATCAACATCCATGTGCTTCATTCGTTCATGGAAAACAGGATTAGCGGCAATGTACAAAGCTGCAAACGGAAAAACCGTTTCGTCAAACGAAACATCTCGGTATAGAAAAACCGATGGGATTCAAGATCATAGACACCCCAACCCTTAGTCCCCGTAGGATATCCCACAAACATACATTTAAGACTACAGGGGTGAAATTTATTTTGCGGACGAGGGTTGAGACGCACATAACATAAACATCCAAATACCCTTAAAAGAGACAAGTCTGGAGGTTTTGAAGAAAGGAGCTCAAAAGGCGATTTGCCGTGAAGAAGAGGGGTGGGGGTACGATTGATAAGATACACAGCTGTACGCACGCATTCACCCCAAAATTCAATAGGCAAAGAAGCCTGAAACATTAAAGAACGGGCGACATTCAAAATATGTCTGTGTTTGCGTTCCACACGCCCATTTTGTTGTGGGGTGTTAACGCGTGATGTTTGAACAAGGACCCCCATGGTGGTGTAAAATTGACGCAAAGGCTTATTCACAAACTCAGTCCAAATATCTGTGCGAACAACTTTTATAACTTTCCCAAATTGTGTTTGAATCATTTGGAAGAACTGTTTTAGACAACTAGTAACCTCGGTTTTGTCAACAATAAGGAAAACCCAAACAGCTCTAGAATAATCATCAACAATTGTGAGAAAATAATGAGAACCAGTAGATAAACACGAAGAATATGGGCCCCATAAATCACAATGAATTAAATCAAACGAGGCATCAGCTTTATTAAGACTTGAAGAAAAACTAGATCGAGTTTGCTTTGAAAAGAAACAAATGTCACACGACTGAAAATTTTTAATTTCAGCTGCACTTTTATTAAAGGGAGGTAAAGACAAAACTTGAGGTGATGGGTGGCCAAGACGCTGATGCAAAAGAGAGACTGATTCGGCTTTGGATGCCTGAGCGAAGGAAGGAAAGACATAAACTCTATTGCGCACTTCACATCGTCCAATCGGCGTCTTCAAAGTTCGGTCCTGTATCACACAAAATTGGTCATCAAAGAAAACATGACAGTTATGAGAGTTGACAAGACAACTCACAGAGATAAGATTGCACTTTAAATTAGGCACATAAAGAACATCAGTGAGGATCAAATCCGGAGACACTTGTACGCGTCCACACGAGTTAGCTACAACACGAGCTCCGTCCGGCAGGCTAATAGTACAAGGAGGCACGGGTTTGATAACCGTCAAATTGGAGAAAACCCTTGTCATATGATGTGAAGCCCCGCTGTCTATTAACCATTCGCATAAGTGAATATTGGATGTACCTTGTAATCGGTCGGAAGTAGATGTCATTGATTCTAGCATAGAAAATAACCGGGCTACTTGATCGGGTGATAGAGCAGAGAGAGGGGGGTGCCTCAGCCGCTGCATGGGCCGAAGGTCCAACACTGCCCCCATGCTGGCCGGCGGTAGTACCTACGGCAGTGGGTACCGACTGGGCAGCAGTCCGGCCTCCTCGGTTTCCGCGACCTCCCCCTCGACTGAAGGAATGCTGGCCACGTCCTCTACCAGAATTTGGAAAGCCAATGATCATATAACACCTATCAACTGTATGGCCCGATTTTCCACAATGAGTACATTGATACGGGTTTGGTGTCGTCCGTGTGGCAGCAAACGCCATGGCATCCGTGTGATCGTCACGCGCACGAACCACACTTTTATGACGTTCTTCTTGTGTGATCAAATAGAACGCCTTGTTAAGATCCACCAACGGTTGAGTCCCAAGTATTTGCCCACGAATGCTACCAAATTGCTCATCATCCAAACCCAACTAAAACTTCCGAGTTTTTGATTTTTCTGCCCGATCCTTTAACAGAGCCGCTGCCTCACATTTGCAACCACAAGTGGGATCCTCCATTCCATACAATTTATTCCAAATGGTGACAAATTGATTATAATAAACGACCACTGTTTGGCCTTTCTGACGAAGATTTTGTAACTCGTTTTTGAGTTGGTAAATGTGAGGCTCATTTACCGTGCTATAACGCGCCTTCAAATCTGTCCACAATTCATGAACCACAGTATGGGAAGCAATACTGGGTTGAATTGATTCTTCAACACTGTTAAAAATCCAACTACAAATTGTAGAATTATTCGCTTCACAAGCCTCAATTTCCAAAGGATCTGTAGGTTTAGACACACCAATAGGAGAAAAAAATCCTGCCTTGCTACGACCCTTTAAAGCATTCACAATAGTCTTTTCCCACGTATCAAAATTGTCTCCTTTCAAGACATGTTTCGTGAGAGCATTACCTGGGCCTTCAGACGGATGAAGATAATACTCAGACGAGGGATCATGAATCAAACGAGTTTTCTTCGTGGTAGACGCCATCACCGATCTTCAATCAAATCGGCACAAGGGACCAAACCGAGAACTTTCTCAGTCGCCGTGCAGCACCTAACGAAAAACCGTCCAAGATTGCCGGACGCAGAGATTGCAGACGGTAGATACAATCGGCGTCAGTTTCTCGATCGGGAGCAACATCTGATAATCAGAGTATCGTGCCCAGGGTTTTGGCTCTGATACCATGTAGAAATTGATAAAAACTGATCTGATTTTATTGATCAAGAGACGTCATATATATACACGTTTACATAACGGGCTAGGTTACACGTGGGCCCAATACAAACTAATTACAAATACCCGCTAACAAACATAGCCTTAAGGTATATATATTTAATTCAAATTTTAAAAGATATTGTCTAATTTTTTAGAGCAAAAAATTGCTGCCAGATACTCTTAGTTTTGTGATCATAACTCACAGGTCCCATCATTTTTCAAAATATACTCAGAGGTCCCTTAAAATTTCAAAAAATTTACTCCAAGGTTATATTCCGTCAATAATCTACCATCCACACTAATTCCTTCGTCATCTTTTTCAGCTTCCTCTTCCTTTTTCTCATCTTCTTTGAGACTTTAACCTTCTTCTCCTTTTTCTTCTTATTATTCTTCTTTAAGAATATTTTACAGTAATATCCCCCCCTTAAATTTTTTAAAAGTCAAAATAGAAACATCTTTTTTAGACGGAGGAAGTATATCTAAGCAATTGTGCATTGCATGTTGAGCTAACTTTAATGGTAGAATTGTTAGTCCCTTTGTCAATAACATATGCAAAATAATTTAAGCAAGGGTAGAACATCTCCAACTTTCAAATATCTTCTACATATAACTCCACTTGATCTTTCGAATGATTAAAACTATGCATCCCAAAAATTTAATATGTTTTTACAATAAATAAGAAGCCAACTCAATAATTGGCTCATTCTCACCTCAAAATACACTATTGTACAAAATGTATATAAACTCTTTTAAACATCGATACAAAAATAAGAAGACATGATTTCTTTGAGAGGTAAAAATCAGACAAGAAAAAATAAGATGGAAGATAAAGATATTGAAATCTTTCCCTTTCAATTTTTCACCCACTCTCCACTTGCATCCCTAAAGTTCTGCATCCATGAAAACGTTTATGCTCTACAAAGTTCACTAACAATTTCAATAGTTGTACGTATGTATCTTGATTACAAAACATTTATACTGTGTCTTGTTGTCATCATATTAGCAGTGTGTTGCTTTAAAAAAAGTTCTTCCTTAAAAACAAATTTGCTATTTTGTTTTCAGAAAAGTGTTATTGTTTCTTACAAAAGAGATACTATATAAAATGAATGCAGAATACAACGATTGCACCGATAATGTTTCTTTGCAACTCTTCAGCGGTTAACCTTGTACCATTACACAGTCCTGATGTTTGATCAATTTTTCTCAATAACATGATTGGTACTCTTTTTCTTAGGTTATGAAGAATATTTGGGAAATATTTCTCTATGTCTTGAATAAGATTAAGGGTTGTATATATAGGAGAACCCACAGGCCGAGAACCCAAGTCCTACTAGGAAACAAACTATACAAAGAAAACGAAATAATAACAATAAGGAAACAAATAATTCCATAACATTTGAATCTGCTTGGCATAAAGAATCTAAACTCAAATATTCCTTTTCATCACCAAGAATAAGAGACAAAAAATTCATTGTTCATTTCAACAACTGCATGTGTGGGTGCTAATAACGCTATATCTAATAAAGAAAGTATAATCTTTCATATTTTCCAATAAATCTGGATATGTGAATTCCACTATAGTCTAAAACAGAGAAATCGAGTTATGAATCAAGGATTCTAGTGGAATTTCAATGTCACCAATCCCATCATTAACCACACCAAGTTGTCCATCTCCAATTTTTATTATCCAGTCAGAAAAAGTTTGTGTGTCATTATCTGCATAGGTGGATGTAGATAAGTGAAACTAAGACTAATTGCCCCAAAGCAATCCATGGTTTTAGTTAGTCTTGAGGTTATATGAAGTTGCATATTAACCTATTAACCACGCTACATATTGTCTCTGAACCTATACTGATCAAAACTGTAAAGAAAAAGTAGAAAAGCTAGAAAAAATGTTAGCCCATTATCAAAGGATCAAATTAAGTGGGAAAGTGTACCTGTACCTAACATTGAACTAAGGAATCATTGTCTACTTCAATATCAACGGTATTCGTCGTGGTATAAGCAAGAAATCTAGGAATTTGGCTCTTTATATACATAGGTCTCTACAATCCCAACCCTCACTTACTCAAAACTGTCAATTAACTCAATTAACCATGAAACTTTCAATCTGCTAAATCCATCAAGTTGAGTTTTGTTTACCCTAAAAATTGAAATTAATTGAATTTCATTCACCTTAAATTCAGCCAATGGCGAAGGAAGCGGCGGAAGATTGTAGTCAGCCATCTGGCGCAGCCTAGGGGCAATGGCGAAGTTCTCAATTAAATACAAAATCATAAAATTTTGCTTAAATTTTAACCATAACATATAATTATCAATTTTGACTTTGAATCTGTCCAAAATCCTAAAACATATACAATGAACCGAAATTGAACAGAGACTAAGAAGAAGAAAATATAGAACAATTTCAATTTAGAGTGTATACCCACAAATAACCATAGGCGCCTGATTTTTTTCTTAGACTGGCGTTGTAATCGCTATTGAATCATCGTCAGGAATCACTGGTCGCCACTCCATACTGTCGTTGCTCCCTGCCTCATCCTTATCGCTGATGGCGTCATCGTCAATAGTGTCGGGGCTAGGGTTGAAACCCTTGCCCCGACGACGTCTCTTACCGCGACTGCTATATGTTTTCGTTGTGTGTTCGATAGATGAAGAATCGATCTGATCTGCAATTTGCAATTTTGATATGTGAATTCGATGCTTGAGTTTAATTTCAGAGAGTGATGTGGTGACCTCTGTGTAAAATCTCACTAAAAGGAGTGACGGATTAGACTACGGAGTATTAATGAAATGGGTTAAACTTTTTATTTTTTGGTAGTATATTGAGTTATTGGATTATTTTTATTGAATTAGAGGATTATGGAGTAGTTTTTGTCATAGCAACACTCGTATATGCGAAAAAGCTAAATAACTGTTAGCTTTTAGCCTCAATTGGTCATGTGCGGTAAAATAAGTGCTGCAAAATGCATGTTTTCTTGTAGTGGAAGATGACTTCCATGGAATCACCTCCCTTTGCCCAAGCGGAGATGTTGTCAAGGCGTATAGCTTGTAACGTTAGCTTCCATGTTGTGCGACTGTTATCAATTTTGTCAAGGAAGTTCTTCCAGTTCATTCCAATTTCGTCCAGTTTTTTCGAGTTCCTTCAAGTTTCTTCCATTTCTTTCCAACTCCTTCCAGTTTCTTCCAACATCCAACTCTTTTTTCTAGTCCTAAAGAACAGGTCCTAAATACTGATTTCCATAACAATAATATAACATGTTTCAGTGATGACCCCTAATTCTTGTTAATCGTCATTGCGTACGAAGTAACCATAGAGAATTGTGTTCTCTGAAACTTGAATGAAATTCTTGTATTGGATGTTGTCAATGATAGTTTTAGAATAAAGACTTCTTCACCCATGTGGCTTCCATATAACCACTGCACATGGATTAGTGCATGTATACGTATTTAAGATTCTTATTAATGAAAGAACTAACCTCTGAGTCATGAAAAATAACATCCAATCATTCGGGCCCCCCTAGCATGGGCAGAAACATGATAAACTCTTACACTCTCAGTTTTAACATGAAAAGCAATGACCTCTCATCAAATATTTCTTACAGCGGTTAAGATCTTCATTTTTGTTCGGATGACGAATTTGAAAACGCATGGATTTGAAAATGCACTAAAAAAAACTGATTACAAAAGTCTTTGCGAATAATTGTATTTATACTTTGAAAAGTTTTTCTGCTTATTCTATTTTCCTTTTTCTGAATTTTTATTTTTAAAATTGCAATGTAAATTTTTGGCCAAACTAAGTGTTATTTACCATTTCAATATTTGTATTTCAACTTAAAAATTTTAATTACTAACATGTTTTTATTATTCTTTCTTACCAAATCTGTTTATAAGAAAATTACTTTATTTAAAATACCTATAAAGTATAAAAGGAAACATTTTAATTTCGATACTTTAAAGTATGAGAATTTTTTTGTTCAAGACAACACTTTAAATTTTTTTGAAGACGGCAATTTTCTTATACATGCTAATCGTGATCGAAAAAGGAACATACATTTTTTAATTTCATTATTAATACATTGCTTCTAATAAAATTATCTTATTTAAAATACCTATAAAGTAAAAATAGAAACACAATTATTTTTTTGTTTGGTTTTTTGTATTACTTCCCATTTCAACATTACTTTTTTAACTTAAACTTTTAATTATCAACCTGTATTTATGATTCTTTTTACCAAGGCCGTGCATAAAAAATTCCTTTATTTAAAATAACTATAAAGTATAAATAGAAATACTAATGTAATTTTAATTTCGATACTTTAAGCTATGAGAATAGTTTTTTGTTCAAGGCGACGCTTTCATTTTTTTAAGATGGTAATTATTTTAGACACGGTAATTGCAAAAAGGAACATGCCTTTTTTAATATTATTATTATAGTGTTGCTTATAATGAAGTTACTTTATTTAAAATATGTATAAAGTAAAAAAGGAAACACAATTATTTTTTGATCGATTTTTTGTGTTACTTACCATTTCAACATTTTTTTAACTTACATTTTTAGTTATTATTAACGTGCATTTATGATTCTTTCATACTCTTTCTTACTTTTTTAAAAAGAGTATCGTCTTTGAAAACAAATATAAAAAATATACGTTAACGATACTCTTTTTATACACACTAATTGCGTAAAAAGAACATACCTTTTTTAATATTATTATTATTTTGTTGCTTATAATGAAATTACCTTATTTAAAATATGTATAAAGTAAAATGGAAACACAATTAATTTTTTATCAAATTTTTTTCACACTGTCATTTCAATTTCCAAACTTTAAGATTTCATTTATAATATATAATGTTTGACCAAAAAATATTTGGTATTGAATACTATTTTTGACACGGTACCATAATAATTAATATTTATACTTTTTACATAAGGGTATTTAGAAATTATCACACAATACCGTGTTAATTATACTTTTTTATAACACAATACGATAATTAATATACTTTTTATAACACGGTATTAAAAATTTTAACATATGAACTTACCTTATTAATAAATAATATGATGCACGGAAATTTAATTACCATAATTACCTTTTACACGGCACTTTAATTTATTACACACCGTACATTATAATTCATAAATATTTATTATCTTCTATACGCCACTATTACATTTAACACTTGCCTATTCATGCTGAGCACTTACTTTTTTGATTGAAGACCATTTAGGTGGTGTAATGGAGAATTCCCCTATTTTTAAATATAGTATAGATAATTACATCACATCCTCAAGTTATTAATTCTATTTCCTTATTTAATTAATTTCAATATTCAAAGAAATGTATTCTTTTATTATTAGTTATCAAACACTTCATATTTAGAGCTTGTCCTTTTGGACTTAAACTCTTAAATTCTTGTTAATTTCAGTTTCTTTTACAGTTTTTTCTAATTTCTTTAACTTTTTTTCCAATTCTTTCCAATTTTTTCTGATTGTTTTTAGTTTTTCCCAATCCTTCCAGTTTCTTCTAATTGTTTCTAGTTTCTTTCATTTTTCAAAAATCTTCCTATTTTTTCCAACTATCTCTATGTTCTTAAAACTCTTTTTACTTCCCAAACAACGTAACAACTCTGAAAATGATGTGTTTTTAATGTGATTGTTATTTTTTATTATTTGAAATATATCATCATATTCAATTGAATAAATGTAAAAAAACTATAATAATAGTTATTATTATTATTATTATTATTATTTTGTAACTATATTTTATAAATTATTTCAATTTTTATTTTTTCTCATTTCACTATTTATGTGATTCACACTCATTATTTTTTTTTTTCTTCTACTTTTTAGTATAAATAAAACTTTTTTGTTTATTACTGGATAATTTACATTAAATTCAAATATGTTCTAAAAAATTATTAATAAAAGAGTTATTTTTTTATTAATCTAAATTGATCAAGGAAACATCAATATTTTAAATAAAAGGTAATGCTCCATAATAGTTTCTCTCCATTATAGTTTCTCCAGTTCTTAAGTTTTTTCCTATCTCTTCCTTTCTTTTTCCCACTTCTTTGTAGTTTTTTTCTAATTTCAACATCCAATTCACTTTTCTAACTCTAAAGAACAAACTCTAAATACCTTTATTAACTTTTTTTACGGGACTTTCGTAACTTTAATATCACTATTACTCCGTAATTCATTTGAGAACATTTGTATCCAAATAATTTAAAAATAAATAGAAATCAAAATTTGAATATAATTACAAATTACTCAATAAAGTAGTAAAATTGATAGACAGCTCAACATATAAGAGTTCCATTTTAAAATGGTTAGATTTTTGAGGAAAATGATTATATTTCATTGTTTCTAAACATTTTGTATTTGAAATTTAATTCTAGGTTAAAATATACTCTGCAATAATTTGTTTAGTGCATTTATTGCGAGAGAGTAATTTATCTTTAGAATGATTACATTTCATTTTCTTAAAATTTTTTGTCAATTTGAAATTTATTTCAATATTAAAGTATATTACTCCGTCCTCCTAAGATCTTCTCATTTTGACTTTTTGCGATTTTTAAGGGGAGTTGAAAAAAGGTGAAAGTTTACCAAAATATCCTTAATGACTTGACAATTTTACTTGGATTTTTAAACAATGTTTTGTACCATAAAGTAGGCTTGCACAATATTCCCATGTTTAAAAGTCTAAATAAAATTGTCAAGTCATTGCTTTGTATGAAGTAACATAAGTGGATGAGTGAGTTGTCAAAAAATGCCAAATAAGCCATCCACATATCGAAATTCTAAGTAACTGAGTCTCAAATATTATATTTCAAATATCCATACTTTATTTAAAAAGCCATGGATTCGTGACATGGTTTTCCCGTCCATTTGGCAATGCAATAAAATGGTAATTGTTCACTTAAAATGGTAATGACTCAATTACAATAAATAATTAAATTTAATAATTACGTTAAAATGGCCAACCTAATTATGGCAATTGATGGAAATTAATGTTACACGGTTAAACAATAATAATACTAACGTGATTAATTTAAATTGGAAATGATTAAAAAGGTAAATAATTTAAATTTGTAATTAATTATTAATCTACTTACCTTTATTGTAAACTTACTTTTATTACTTTTATTTTAAACTTACTATTTTCGGTTAACAAAACGGTAATTGATTATTACCAATTAATAAGGTAAGTAGTTTGGTTAAAATAAATGTTAACAATACCGGGATTAATTATTACACGGTCAAACAATAATAATAAATAATAATAAATAATTAGGCAAAAAATTCAGTATTAATACAGTTCATTTTTTTAATAATAATAATTATGAAAAACTTTCCAAACGTGATTATAAAGAAATAATAATAATACTAACGTGATTAATTTAAATTTGAAATGATTAAAAAGGTAAGTAATTTAAATTTGTAATTAATTATTAATCTACTTACCTTTATTCTAAACTTACTTCTATTACTTTTATTAATCTCGCCCATTTGGTATTCCAATAAAAAATGGTAATTGTTCACTCAAAGTGAACAATGACTCAATTAAATTAAATAATTACGTTAAAATGGCCAACCTAATTATGGCAATTGATGGCAATTAATGTTACACGGTTAAACAATAATAATAATACTACCGTGATTAATTTAAATTTGAAATGATTATAAAGGTAAGTAATTTAAATTGGTAATTAATTATTAATCTACTTACCTTTATTGTAAACTTACGTTTATTACTTTTATTTTAAACTTACTATTTTTCGGTTAACAAAACGGTAATTGATTATTACCAATTAATAAGGTAAGTAGATTGGTTAAAATAAAGGTTAACAATACCGGAATTAATTATTACACGGTTAAACAATAATAATAAATAATTAGGCAAAATATTCGGTATTAATACAGTTCCTTTTTGGGTTAAGGAGCAAAATAGGAGCAAGACATTGATAACATGCAAAAATAGGAGTAGAAAAGAAAACTCCGCTAAATAGGAGTAATTTAAATACTCCCTATTTAACTAAATTCATTTCCTAAAGCTTATAGACCTCCGTTCTCCTCATTTCGCTGCGGGTAAACACCAAAAGGCACTCATTTGTAAGTTCTTTCTTGCATGGCTATGTTTTGACCAATATAGAAAAAATCAAAGAGAAAAAAAAAACAAAAAGGAAAATAAACAAAAAATAAA